TGTAAAATCATACGACTCTATACTGCGCAGTTATCGTACGACTTTATATGCGCAATCTTACGACTCTTCTGGTATGCTCGGGGATCCTCATCTGGGACGCAAGATGGGATAGGAGGCTGTGAAGACAGGAGTCGTAGAAGAGGTAGCTATTTTAAACCAACTCAATCCCAAACTTAATTTAGTTTTTTCAACCTCGCGTTAGCAACGGTATTGAACAACAGCTTGGAAATCATCCTCGCGGACCGGTGCTGGCAGTGGCCAGGTTGCCGAGACGCAGCTGGATCCTTGTGAAGCGCCTCGTCGATTGTCAGCGTCAGGGCAGGCAAGATCATGGGCATAACATCGTCGATGTCCCACGACAACCTGCTGTGTCGCTCGCGTGGGTTGCAGTCATCATTGGGTGCTTAGTGTATGGTGATCGCCACGCCTGACATGCGTCATCCAAAAAGCGGTGACTGTCTGTACGTGTCAGGGGGGGGGGGGGGTTCCCAAGTATCATCAGCAGGGGACCAACCGAGCCAACTCACTCGATAATATCGCTCATAGTTCAGCGGGGCTTTGACCACGTGGTGACTCTCCGGATTGACCACCGCGAGCACCGCAGAGCTGATGTGTGTCGTGGTCGACAATTTGCTCAACGATCCAACGTGAAGCGTCAATCAGTGGCAGAGGCCCGTCTCGCTGGAATGTCGGCGTACTATCCATAGATGTGTGAACGTTCGGGATTGCGGATGGATGGTACTTCTTGAGGCGCCCGACGTAAAACGTCCGATGCAGCTGCATCGGATATCGAGCGTTTACGCCTCGCCGAGTACTTTTATCACCTTGAACGACCCAATAAAGAGCGGTGCGAAAAGGCTCGCGCCGAGGTTGGTGACTGCTGAATCACGAATACCATCTGTCGACAGGACCACGCGTTCTCCTGTCGTGAACAAAGCTGTGTTTTTTCTTCCTCGTTTGTCCGGGCGATCATTAGGCGTTGCACCAGAAAATCGGATACTACTGCGGAGCCGACAGCTCGCGTTGCTTGCCTCGGCCCATAGTTCACTGGCGATGCGTTCGATACGGCACTAAGATTAATCAGGTTCCGATCTGTCCAGGATACGTGAGTAGTCGTCGCGTCGTGCGACGTCGACAAAATCTTGACCTGAGCGCGCGTCACGGCATTAACCGACGAGTTCGTTAAGGCTACACTCGACAGATCCTTGGCAATCGATAGAGATGCCGGTCGGCTCAGCACCTGTCACTGGTGGTGTTGTAGTTGGGGCGGACTCCGTGCACCCAGCTTTTTCCCGGCCCAGAGTGGAGACCCGTGGTGACGTGGGATGGCCCATGGTGAGGCGGGTTGAAACACGCGGGTGCTGCCCGTTGTTAAGAAAGAACGGCGTCAAACCAGTCAACGCATGTACCGCGTTGTTTAGCGCAAATTCTGCGGGGAGGGGGGAGGGGGCAGGTACGAGCTCCAATTTTGAAAGGCGCTGCGTAGCTTCGAATAATATCTTTTGAGGACATGGTTCACACGCTCGGTCTGGCTGTCCGTTTCCGGATGGGCTGTCGTCGACGTCGATAACTTCGTTCCCAAGAGCTCAAAGCGTTTCGCCCAGAAAGCTGACGTGAAGCGAGGGTCGCGGTCAAAGAC